GCTACACAGCTGAAGAACAATGACATGAGCTAACAACTGTACTAGGTATCCCAAACAGTAAAACTGACAATAGTGGAATTTATTGGGAACGTAACTAACAATTTATAATTAACAATGAGTTGATGAACTAAACAGCTGGACTGTGAAAATACCACCGGCCCATAAATTACAACAGTTACTAAGTCCGTAATTTCTCAAAGTGATGGAGGCTGAATTTCAGAACGTTTGTTGTACTATAGTGTAAAAAATAATCTATATGACTTAATGGACCGAAACATTCCTTCTCAGCAATTATCTTTTTATGCACTTTGTGCTGTGTAACAGCAGTACAAAACGCATATTGTCACGTGGCTGTCTGTGTGTGTTTATGTGTGTGTGTGTGCAGTAAATTGTCCGCAACTTTCAACTCGGGAATCACACAAGCTAGGAAGCTGAAAATTTAGGGGGACGTTCCCCACCCACGTGTGACGCCGCAAATTTAAATTCAGCTTCCCCGTACCCGCGTTTAACACGTACGGCCCCGTGAAAGTTTTCTACGGGTAAGTTAATATCTCGAGAGCCACGGAGTCTAGGAAGCTGAAATTTTAGGGTAATGACCCCTGCCCACGCTCAACCTCGCCCATTCAAATTCAACGTTCTCGCGCTCTCGGGTACCACCTACGGGCTAGTGAAAATTTTGGCTAGTAAAATATTAACTCGGGAAACACGGAAAGATATTCATCCTCCAAGGTTTCGAATTCAGCTTTCATGCGCAGGTACGCGAAATTTTTAACTATTTCCCAATGTTTGAACTATTTTCGCATAGACTAAAGTACAAAGCAGTGAAAATCATTAATAGGCAATCGTTCGATGGATGAATTGCACAAAACGCATGATCGCACCGGCTAGTCTGGTGCGCGTTGCTATTTTAGTTTTACTATGCGTTTTGTGCTGTGTAACAGCTATAGAAAACGCATATTGTCACGGGGTTGCCTGCGTGTGTGTTCGCATCAACTTGTCCGCAACTTTCAACTTGGAAACCACAAAAGCTAGGGAGCTGAAAATTTAGAGGAATGTTCCCCACCCATGTGTGACGCCGCAAATCTAATTTCAGCCTCCCCGTACCCGCGGGTAACAGGTACGGCCCCGTAAAAGTTTGGGCGGGTAAAGTTATTATTACGAGAACCAAGGAAGCTAGAAAACTGCAATTTTATAGACATGTCCCCTGGCCAAGTGCTACCCAGAAAATTTCTCCTGCCCGCGGGTAACATGAACGGCCTCGCGAAAATTTTTGCGGGTAAATTATTATTTCAGGAACCGCAAAAGCTAGGAAACTGAAATTTTAGGGCAATGACCCCCTGCTCATTTACGATCTTGCAGATTCAAATTCTGCGTTCCCGCGCTCTCGGGTATCCCCTACGGCCTCGCGAAAATTTTGACGAGGAAATTATTATCTCGGAAACCATAAAAGGCAGGAAACTGAAATTTTACAGTAATGCTTTCTATCTACGTGCAATCCTGCAGTTTTAAATTCAGCCTTCCGAGCGTCAGGGATCACTTGCGGCTCTGTGAAGTTTTCGGTGGAGAAAATTATTATCTCGGAGACCGCGGAAGTGGGGAATCTGAAATTTTAGGCTGATTTTCTCTACCAACGTACGCCCTCTTAAATTTAGATTCACCCTTCACGCTCACCTGGGTACCATGTAGGGCCTCGTGAAAGTTTTGATAGAGGAGTTATTATCTCGTGTGCGTAAAATTTTCAGTGAGAAATTCCGCAATTTACGGACCAAACAACATTTCAACTATTTTTGCACAGACCAAAATACAAAGCAGTGAAAATCATTAGCAGACAATCGTTCGGTGGACGGAATTGCCCAAAACGCATGTTCACACCGCCTGCTCTAGTGTGCGTCGCTTATTTCTAGATCATTAAAACCAATATTATTTTTTAGTCTCTTTGTTTTCTTTTAATGCTATTATTACCATCTCTATCCTTATAGCGCGTATTAAGCAGATAATGATATATTACATTCATATATGTCCACCTTGCTCTCTCCCTTTTTCATTTTTATGCGTTTTTTGCAGCACTGCAATGCGAAAAACGCATTGCAGTGCTGCAAAAAACGCATAAAAAATTTCGGGAACTTAATGTACATGAACGTGCCGGCCCCAATTCCCAAAATGGGCGCCAAAACCCGCATGGTACCCGCGTACGGGCCCGTCAAAGTTTTTTTGGGGTCAGTTCATAACTCGAGGATCTGAGAAGCTAGAAGGCTGAAATCCTGGGGTAATGTTCCCTGCCCAAACGGGTATTAGTGGGCTCAAACCCAGCCCCCACGTAAGCGTAGTACCCGCGCACGAGCCCGCCAAAATTTTCTTCGGGTAAGTTTATAACTCGGGGATCTGCGAAGCTAGAAGGCTGAAATTTTGCAGTAATATTCCCCGTCCGAGCGAGTACTAGTGGGCTCAAACCTAGCCCCCGGGTAAACGTGGTAGCCGCGTACGAGCCCGCCAAAATTTTTTTTTGGGTAAGTTCATAACTCGGGGATCTGAGAAGCTAGAAGACTGAAATCTTAGAGGAGTGTTCCCCGCCCAAGTGGGTATTGGTGGGCAAACCCAGCCTCGGGTAAGCGTGGTTCCCGCGTACGAGCCCGCCGAAATTTTTCTCGGGTAAGTTCATAACTCGGGGATCTAAGAAGCTTGAAAGCTGAAGTCTTAGAATGATGTTCCCCGTCCAAGTGAGTGTTAGTGGGCTCAAACCCAGCCCTCGGGTAAGCGTGTGACCCAAATACCGGCCCGCCAAAATA